AAAAGTCCCTCAAGAGGTCGGAGGAAAACTCCCCACCTCTGCCAGAGTGCAGACGCAGAACAGGAAAGTCCGAGTGGAACCTCTCGCTGAGCTGGAGACGGGCAGAGCGGATCCAAGGGATCAAAACATCAGGGACTTCACCCTTGGTGCGCAAGGGGAAGACCGTGGTGTAGCGCGAGTAGTCGTCAACAACTATCAAGAAGTACCTCTCGTGGCCCTGTCCACGGACGCGGGCTGGGCCCCACACGTCCATGTGAAGGGTCTGCAGGGGAGCAGTCGTCGGGGGAAACGAGGAGGAGTGAGGAGCGGCGCGCTGCCGCCCCTCGACACAGGGAAGACAGGGAGGAGCAGGCGAGGGTGGGAGAGGAGGGAGAACCCTGGGAAGACCAGAGACAAGGTACCGGGAGTGCATGCCACGAAGGCGCTGCACTGACGGGTGACCAAGGCGGTGGTGCCAGAGGACGGTCTCGTGCGACAGGGAGCGACACGAGCAGGGGGCCGTCAGCTGACCTGACGCAGACGCAGACGCAGCTACCTGAGGGGACTCAGTGGTCAGTGTGTACAGGTCCGACCCCGGCTGCCGAGTGAAGGTAGCCAGGTGGCGACCCGTCCTAGCACACGTGCAGTGGGTCACACGCTCATGGGCAGGGGTGAACTGGTGAACACCCCCGTCCTGGAGAGCAGAGCCCGCCACCAAGTTCGTAGAGAACGAGGGGAGGTAGAGACCTGACAGGGTGCCGGACGGGACCGCAGGACAAGGGAGGACAGTGGAGGAGGTCGCAAGGACATGGCCCCCGGAGGGGTCAGCCAGGGAGACAGCAACAGGCCGAGCTAGCTGCTCAAGGACAGTGCGGTCACGAAAGAAGCAGCGGGAAGCACCCGAGTCCAGTGTGAAGGTGTGCAGTGCCTCAGTAGACGCAGTACCAGCAGGCGCAGACGCACGAGCACCTGGAGCAGTAGACTCACTAGCACCTAGAGCAGCAGCCTGACCAGGACCTAGAGCAGTAGACGCACTAGCACCTAGAGCGGCAGCCTCATCAGTACCTGGAGCAGCAGACTGGACCTGGCCACTACCAGAAGCTCCCGAACTACCCACTCCAGAGCGACTCCCACTACGGCCACCCCGACAACCCCAACTAGCGTACCACGCACGAAGCTGCTGGGGCGAAAGAGCCTCGCGGGGACAACGCTGCAGCTGCACCTGGCCACTACCAGAAGCTCCCGAACTACCCACTCCAGAGCGACTCCCACTACGGCCACCCCGACAACCCCAACGAGCGTACCACTCACGAAGCTGCTGGGGCGTGAGGGACTCACGCGGACGGCCCTGGAGCTGCATCTGGCCACGCCAGGAGCAGCAGTAGCAGCAGTAGCGGCAGTAACAGCAGAAGCAGCAGGAGTAGTAGCAGTAGGAGCAGTAAAAACAGTAGCAGCAGTAGCAGCGGTAGCAGCGCGGGCAGGGCAGTGCTCACCAGTGGTGGGAAGAGCAGGCGCAAGACGGCGGCGACAGCGGGGCCGCTACAGCTGCAGGGCGGGGCCGGGCCGTGGCAGGGAGCTCCGCGGCAGCTGCTGCAGGGCGGGGCCACGACTGCGGCTAAAGGCTCCGCGGCAGTTGCTGCAGGGCGGGGCCGGGCCGCGACGGCAGCTGCTCCAGGGGCCAGGGGCGGCTGCTGCAGGGGCGGCTGCTCCAGGGGCCAGGGGCGGCTGCAGGTGCGGCTGCTCCAGGGGCCAGGGGCGGCTCCTGTAGTGGCGGCTGCTCCAGGTGGCCAGGGGCGGCTGTTGCAGGGGCGGCTGCTCCAGGGGCCAGGGGCGGCTGCAGGTGCGGCTGCTCCAGAGGCCAGGGGCGGCTGCTGCAGTGGCGGCTGCTCCAGGGGTCAGGGGCGGCTGCTCCAGGGGCCAGGGGCGGCCGTCCCAAGGGCGGGCGCGGGGTAGGTCAGGGCGTCGCGGCGGGCAGGGGCGACTCCGCGCGGGTCCCGCAGGGGCGTCGTGACGAGACGGGGGGGGGCGACGCGCGGGTCCCGCAGGGGCGTCACGACGAGGCAGGGGCGACGCGCGGGTCCCGCAGAGGCGCCGCGACGAGGCGGGGGCGACGCGCGGGTCCCGCAAGGGCGTCGCGCGGGTCCCGCAGGGGCATCGCGACGAGGCAGGGGCGACGCGCGGGTCCCGTACCCGCGTCGCGACGAGGCAGGGGCGACGCGCGGGTCCCGTAGGGGCGTCGCGACGAGGCAGGGGCGACGCCCGGGTCCCGCAGAGGCGTCGCGACGAGCAGGGCGACGCGTCGCGGGGTCCAGGGGCCGCACCGCGGGGTCGAAGGGCGGCTGCGCGGGTGCAGAGCAGGCCCGCGCGCGGCCTGCAGGGTAGGGCGGCAGGGTGGCGCTCGAGGGCGCGGGTAGGCAGGCGCTCAAGGGCGCGAGTAGGCAGGCGGGCGACACACGGGGCTGCACGGGGCCGCGAGGGGCTGCGTGCGAGGCTAGTGGGCAGCGCGCAACTAGCAAAAGGGCACACGAGGGCGCAGGCAGTAAGCGCACGAGGGCGCACAGGTAGTAGGCAGTAGTAGCAGTGGTGGGCCCTAACAGTAGTCGGTCCTAGGTGACTAACCTAGGCTCGTGATACCATGTCAGAATGAGAGAAGGATGTTTGAACTAGCAAGACTGGGAGTACAAGTAGGAAAACCTAGATGTTGTACCCCCTAAGGCTAAACCCACTATAGCCTACAGAACACAAGCATATACAATGTTTGACAGTAACCCTGGCCAGTTGCGAATCTACTGTGCCAAAAATGACGGAGCTCGCACAACCAAAAACATACAAACCAGACTGTCGACTCGCTTGCGACGCTCGTTTTTTTCGCGCGAGTGAGGGTTGGGCGAATTACGCGGACCTGTTCAAGGTGATGGTTCGTAACTGGAAGCTGTTTTTGAACGTGTACATTACGAACCTTTTGACGTTTACAGCACGTCAGTGTCGCGCGCCATTGACGACGCATGTCTACAGTGGTCAATTTTGAAGAGTTACAAAGAGAAAATAGGGTTACAACGCTGAACATGAACTGTAAACGAACGCGTGGGACACGCCCTGAGTGACTGACGTGACTCTCTTGTAGCATTCACTACAAGCTAGTACGGGCTGAATCTAGAATACAGTTCTGAGCTCAGGGCGTGCGACAGCCATGCATGGGACCTTCGTGCCATGCGAGCGTTTAGGAAACGCGAGCTTGGAAAGAGGTCGAGCTTGCAAACAGAGAGACTTTGGAGCCCTGCAGGGCTGCCGTGGTGCGGATTTCATGGGAGAGCGATCTTGTAGCGAGTGAGCCGTCTTGTAGCGTACAGTGCAGATCAGAACGTGCATTTGGGGAAGCTATCACACCTGGTTCTCTTCCAGGGGCCCGATTTGTTTGGCCAAATATGCCTCAATGGAGTAAGGCGTATTTCAGGCGCAAGATGCTCCATCCGCAAAATTGCGCAGTCCGTAGTTGTAAGGCCGAAGTATCCGCGCGGCTCTTGCCACCTATATCACTCTCATACTCTCGAAACTGGGTTTTCATTTCAGCAGTCCCAAGATTACATGATGCGAGAGGAATTCCGGAAGTAGGTTTTTTATCCTTAAGCAATGCCGCGAACTTCGATGGATACCACTGCTGTCTCTAGCAGTAACAGCAGCTCTCGTGGTATCCTCGGAGACGGTTTCCCGCCAGGATTTTGATTCCGGCCGACGGACGAGGAGCTGCTGTGTTACTACCTCAGGCGGCGCGTGGAGGGCCTTCAGATCGCATGGAATGCGATCGGCGACGTGGATCTGTACAAGTCCGAGCCTTGGGAACTGCCAGGTACTGCCCTCCACCAGCTGCTTGGGTTTCAGAGGTACCTCCCATGTTGAACGGTGCGCCTCTTTTGAACACTGCCTGAATTGTGTCGCAGCATTTTCTTTGTCAGATGTTCAAAATGTTAGCCTTGGTTTTAACTTCAGAGCCGCCCAAAACGACCAGGGGTGGGTCACTTTTCAGTGAAACCTTCCATGTCTGGAACCACCCACTGGGGTCTCCGCAGCCAAAAGTGCTTACTTTTTTTTTTTAGTTTTTTATCCCAGTCACTCTCAGTCATGACTGATTCAGACCGCTAGAGTGGTACGGTGGAAATTGCATTTCCCCCTGTGTGCGTACTACTCTTGGGGTCAATTTCGGGTCAGGGGGTCGTTTTCCAGAAAAACTCTAACCTAAAAGTAACCACAGGGTCACGACATGGTGCTAGTGACCCAAGGGAAACCATCGGGTCAGGGACAGGTCACCTGGTAGTGACCTTGGGGATCCCAATTTCCATAGGTGAGCCCCAGGTCGTCAACTGTCTGTAGTAATCCTCTTTCAAGGAGTAAATCTTGCCAACATGCCCAATATCTGGAGACTGGTTCTTTGTCACATCCCGTGACCTCAATCTATTCTCTCCCTCTTTCACCTTTCCCTCTCCTCCACTCCCAGCCAGAGCAAAATTCCCCAAACCTGGTGACGGAGAGTGGTTCTTTTTCACATCCCGCGACCTCAAGTACCCATCAGGGTCCCGGTCCAACCGATCCACAACTGCTGGGTACTGGAAGGCCACCGGGAAGGACAGGCCAGTGCTTGTGCGGCTCACAGGCAGCACCAGTGTTAACGACGGAAAAAGGGAGCAGACAGTCGTAGCGGGGTTAAAAAAAACTCATGTCTTCTACATGTGAGTTCAGTGCTGCAATTGCTCCCCACTCTTCATCGCTGCAGGGTCTTGATTTCCGCCTCTCACCCATCTCCGACTCCTTATGTAGAGCTCAGGTGTTCAGGTTGTTTGCTTGAGTCTCTAGACTGCTTGCTCTGGTCTTCTGTTGTTTTGTTGAAGTCCTTGAAATTTTTGTTAGGGGTTCCATCAAGGTTGTTTGGGCGGCTAAGGTTCTCTTCATATAACAATTCTTCCAAATCCTTCCAAATCCTTGTTATGTTTGTCGTCATTGGATTGCTAGATCGGGCTTGGGATGAAATGTTCAGGTCTTCGGACCGTGTTTGAGTGGCTGTGTTACTCTTCATATGATAAGTCTTCTTAATCCTTGTTTGTCGTTTTGCTGGTGTGGGCAACAGGGGGCGAGCGCCAGGAGGGGACAAGACCGACTGGGTGATGCACGAGTACCGGCTGGCAGAGGATTCGCCTGTAGCTGGACCTGCTGCTACAGCCGCGGCACATGCTACAGCTGCAAAAGGCGAATCGAACCCAGCAGCAGCTGCTACCCCCGAAGGGACCTCGGCTGGTGCAGACGCAGCAGGTGGTACTGCCAAAAATGAAGCGACAAACCCAGACACCAGAGGTGCGGCTGATGCGGGTGGAGATGTAAGTGGTGGGTCAGGAAGGAGCAGCACCAGCAGTCCTAAAGCCAGCAGTCCTAAAGCCAGCAGTCCTAAAGCCAGCAGTCCTAAAGCCAGCAGTCCTAAAGCCAGCAGTCCAAATTCCGAACCTGGGAGCGGTCGAAGGATCGGCAGGACGTGGGTGGTTGTGAGAGTGCTCAAGCGAAGCTCACTGACAGAGGAGGAGCAAGAGCTGGTGGCAAAGCAGGCTGTGGTGGAACAGGTGATGGTGTCACAGAATGAGCAGATGATGGTAGAACAGCAGATGATGGTGATGCAGCAGCTGTGTGGGGCTCCTTCACCAAAAGGAAAACCAGAGAGGGACGAAGAGGCACCAGTGGCAGGGTACCATGCAGGTGTATCAGTGCATGGCGTGCACTGTAGCGGTGTTTCACCCTCACTAGATTCTCCGCAGAGTAACTCCCCAACTACCCTCGCGAGCAGCCTGTCCCCCAACTCCTCTTGCTGCACAATGCCGGTGGATGTGCAGAGCAGTGATGTGGCAAGCCTAGCAGCAGCTGTAGGTGCAACGATTCCTGTAGGTCCGGAGGAGGAAGACGCATCAAAAGTGGCAAAGGTGGCAAGAACAGGAGCAGCAGCGGGAGCAGCAGTCGAAGCAGTACCGATGGAGGTAGAAGGAGCAGGAGCAGCAGTGGGAGCAGACAAGCAAAGCAACAGCTCAGCAGACAAGCAGCATAAAGGCAGCACACAAGCAGGGGTGTTCTTGGAGGGCCCGCACTGCCCTGAGTCCTTGCCATCTTTCAAGCACTATCTGTTTGAATTAAATCCGCCTGGAAGCGGCAGGATTGATGGTGGTGTGGATGGCGGGGATGGAATAGGAGAGCAGCAGGAAACGGAAGAGGAGCAGCAGATGCGAAAGGAGCAGAAGAAGCGGAAAATGGCGGAAAAACTGGACTGGAGGGTAGAACTGGACTGTAGACAAGAGGACGGGCAGAAGGAGGAGCAGGAGAAGGGTGACTGGGAGCAGGTAGAACATAAGCAAACAACCAGCAAGAAGAAAACGAACTGGCAGAAGCTGACAAGCAGGCAGGCGCAGCAGGTTATCACTCCCCAGCTAGTCCCCCAACAGCAGATGGCTCTACAGCAAGAAGGGGCGACCGGTGCAGATTCTTCTACTGCTGCTGATAATACGTCTGCTGCAGCTGCTGCTGGTGCTGCTGTTGCTGCTGATGCTGCTGGTGTTGCTGGTTCAGGTGAAGAAGGTGACCGGTCAGCAGATCCAGATATCCGTGTTGAGGATCTGCAAGAGCTAGCTGACATTCTCAACTCTCTTTTGAGAACTCAGGTCACCAGCACCACAGATGCTACAAGAACTTCCCCTAGGGCCACTCCTGTTGCTCCTTCCAGTGCTGCTTCCGCCACTTCCCCTAGGGCCGCTTCCACCTGCACCACACCTGCTGCTACTGGAACGTCGCCTAGGGCCGCTCCTCTTGCTGCTTCCAGTGCTGCTGCCACCACCTCTCCTACTGTTTCTCCACCTGCCCATCCTGCTGTTGCTTCTGCTGCTGCTGCTGCTGCTGCTGCTGCTGCTGCTGCTGCTGCTGCTGCTGCTGCTGCCCCTGCTGCTAATCTGGTTGGAGGTGAAACCCAAGCTTTGGGATCAGGGTCTGGTGTGGTTCCCACAGATGTTGCACCTTCTGCTATTCCGGGGGTAGCCGCTGCTGCAGCTCGCAGAGTTGAGTTTGGAGGGTTTTAGGACAGCACGTCAGCAAGGAATCTGAGGATAGCACGTGCGCTTTCATTTGACACACCCTTACATGCAGCTGTTGCACCCTCTGTAGCAACTTCTATAGCACCCTCTGTAGCAACCCCCGTAGCACCCTCTGTAGCACCCTCAACAGCATCCCAGCAGGGGAAAAGGCACAAGAGACAGCATGGGGGGGAATCCGGGTACCAGGACCAGCAACGCCAGCAGCAGCAGAAGGGGGAGGAGAAGCAACAGCGGCAACAGCAGCAGCAGCAGCAGCATGATGAACACAAACCCTTACATGCAGCTGTTGCACCCTCTGTAACAACCTCTGTAGCACCCTCTGTAGCACCCTCTTTAACACCCTCAATAGCATCCCAGGGGGGGAGAAGGCACAAAGGACAGCAAGGGGGGAAATGTGAGTACCAAGACCAGGAACGCCAGCAGCAGCATAAGGAGGAGGAGAAGCAACGTCAGCCAGAGCACCAGCAGCAGCAGCAGCAGCAGGATGCTGAATACAACCAGCATCACACACTTCAACAGCAGAGACTCAGTCCTGATCAGTAGAAGCAGCAACAGCCTGCAGCAAAAGAAGACTCCAAATGTAGGCACGACCATGTGGATGAGCCCAGGGCTGATTACCCATGGCTAAGGGCTCAGGAGCACTTGCCTCAGCAGCAAGGAATCAGTCCCGACCTTCCATGGCACAGAAGCGTTTCTTGTCCCGCTGTCTCTCTACCACTGCAGGCTCCCAGTGAAGGCACCAACCAGTATGAAACGCCCTTCCGCGCCTCCCACAGCCTAGAGTATCACCGATCCCAGTCGATGCATGAGGAGCTGGAGGGACAGGGAGGGCTAGGAAGGCTGTATGGGAGGTATTTTAGTGACCTGCTGCATACCAGTGTGTGGGAGATCAGAGGAACGGAGGTGGCTGGAGAAGGGTTGGAAGGAGAGAGGATGGGACAGTGGGGTGGCTTGGAGGGGATGATCCGTAACAGCAGCTGGGGCGCAGGAGAACAGGTTTTGGGGATGGATCATGGAGAAGAAAGCTTGACAGCAGGTGTTGGCAACGGAGCAGCAGGAGTCGCAGCAGCAGGGGTAGCAGCAGCTGGTTCAGGAATGGCAGTGACAGGAGTGGGAGATGCAGCAGCAGGGATAGAACCAACCGGTGCAGTGGTGGCGACAGTAGGGTTGGGAGTTGCAGCAGCAGGGGCAGCTATGAGAACAAGAGAAGGACAAGAAGGAGGAGATGATATGATGACATCGGTACATGGGATGGAACTATATGAGCTGGAGGCACTTCTACTAGATGTGGATGAGGACGACAACATGGAAATCAGCAGCAGCATGGTCAGTGGGTTCAGCCACCACTCCGGTACCAGGATAGACGGCCGCGCCGCGCTCCTTGTTGACTGTGGTATCCCTCTCAGCAACAGTCATCCCAGCAGCAACGGTCATCATAGCACCACGAATCTGTCACATGTTGGCGACACAACTGCAGGTGAACTCATGGGATCATTCACGGGACTGGCACCGGTGTGGGACTGCCACCATCCGTGGCGCTGGATTCATCAGCGGGACAGGGATTGCCCATGTTCTCGCCGGTGCATGGTGGGTCTGGAGGCAAATTTGCATCAGAAAAGGAGGTAGCTGTGGACATAGCCGTTTATCACACTGTCAACAACACGGGTAGCAGTGCCAGATTCAATCTGCTGATGCCAGATTCAATCTTCTTAACGCCAGCAGCAGAAACAGCAGCTTTGGCAGCTGCAGCAGCAGCAGAACCAGCAGCAGAACCAGCAGCAGCAGCAGCAGCAGCAGCAGCAGAACCACCAGCAGTTTGGATTGCCATGAAATTAATCATGCTTTGAGTTACTTTTAAACTCGTTCTGAGATGACAGAAAGAAAGCTCAGGTTGAGCAGGAGCAAGAAGAGGGGATGGAAGAAATTGTACTGTAAGTCGACTCAGGAACCATCTAGAGAAAGGCCAATGAAAGTGCCATTTAAGGTGGGGTGCTGCGGTAGCCAGGGTTGGAGATAACAGGTCGTAATGCCTATTTCGAATAAAGGGTTCAATGTTGTCCTGGGAATGACATATAGCTAAATAGAACAGATTAGTATGATAAATTGCACTGAAACTGCTTGATTGTAAGTGAAGCAGCATCCAGTGTAGCACCTAACACACCTAGTATCGTCGCTCGCGCCACTTCCTCGCACTCTGGGAGATGGGTTATGAGGGGCATGGCCTGCATCATGCCCCTGTGTTCTGCAGCCGAGAACGATGCCGTAGTGGCGACGTAGGTCGTGGCGCTTGGGGTACACAATCATGGACGGCAGGGTCTGATCACGGACATTGATGTATCGTCTGTGTTGACAACAGGGTTAGGGAAATACAGGAGGACATATGTGAGTGCATTCAAGTTAGCCCACAAATCAGAGCGTAACTTGATGCTTAGTTCAGCATCTCCTCCTTTTGCTTACATTTGTAAGATCCTTTTCTCAGATGGGGTAAGCGTGGCCAACATGCACTTCATCGAATCCTCGTCAACGGCATGCAAGATGTCAAGTGGAACGGCGCGGTAGATGTTGCCCCACAGTGTAGACGAGAATGGCCACCGCCACAGAGCGCACTGCACGGTGTATTGAGAGATAGCAGATTAGGGAATGGCACGATACAAAGAGGCGGCAAGTGGCGGTAAATGTGTGTTATCACCAAAGAATGAGGACTCTAGTGCTGATGGAAAATGGCCCCGCCCTCGCTTGGGGCGAAGCCGACTTCGCAGTCGGATGCGTTGGATGTCGCGATATATGTTTTATATAAGTGCAGCGTGGGACAGGTGGCAGAATTCCGTAATTGGAAGGCTGGGATTGTAACACGTGTGGGTTAGCAGTGAGATGTACAAGTGTAAATAGAAATAGGATGCGGCTCGTTGTCTGGGCTGGCCACCCGAATCGGCTTTCCGAGCCGCATTTCTGAAATGTAATCACTGTACATACATAAAAACCAATTCGTAGGAATTAGGAAGTAGTTGTTCTTGTTTCTCTTTCTGTTTGTTGTTCTCTCCTTGAAGGAAACTCCCTTGGTGAATTTCTCAGCCAGAAACAACTTGAACAAGCCCAAGTGCCGTGAGCTTGTATGTTTTATATATGTTTATAACTGCATGTTGTTTTAGCTTTGGTGTAGTTATGTTACCTTGCTGTTGGTGGTGCACCCTTGCTTTGACCTATATGTTGTTTGGTTCTCTCTTAGTGAATCACTCCATTCTCAAATCTCCTTGGCACAAACACGCTCGATACCTCCTTGCCTAGGCTTCTAAGCCTAGGCCCTAGTTAAACCCGGTTACCAGCTAAGATCGTCTCGTAACATGGTAACAGAGCGTTAGATCCTATGGGCCCACCGCTAGCCTTCGTTGTGGTGCAGCCCGTAGTGTGCCTCGTGAGCACCGCGACGATCAACTCGTCGCGCTGCCCTTCTGCAGCAAGTCGCCCGCGCGCTACCCGCGCTGCCGTCCGTCGCCTCGTCGTGGCCCCGCTAGTCGCCATGCGCCAGCGAAAACGCCAGCGACCGCCAGCGCGTTCGCCCACGCGCCTGCGACCCCGTTCGTGACCCACCATCGGATCCGCGAGCCCGACCGCGCTGCGTCACCCCGTCGACCGCTGCGCCCCCGTGCATCACCCGCCGAAGGACCCGCCAGCCAACGAACCAGCAGACCAGCGGACCCGCCAGCAGGTGAACCAGTGGACCCCCGAGCCCGCCAGCAAGCAAGCCGACGGACCCGCCGTCGGACCCACCGTCGGACCCACCAGCAACAGCTCGGGCACCAGCGACATCAGCCAGCGCAAGCGCCAACCACCAGCCATCCCGCCCGTCCCTACCCCCTCCCCCGTCGCCTTCCCTTCCGCGACTGCGGCTGTGGTGGGGGAGGTGGCGTGGAGGGGGTGGCCTCCGTGACCCCCCTGCGCTTCCCCACCCGTCCCGCCCCTGCGCGTTTGCAGCGGCAGTCGCTGTGTGGGGGAGGAAGGGGGGAAGGGGGTGACGGTGGGACGTCCGCCAGCAACAGCCCTGACGCCCGTCCCTCTATCCCTCCCCCCTCCCCCGTCGCCTTCCCTTCCGCGACTGATGCTGTGGGGGGGGAGGTGGCGGGGAGGGGGTGGCCGCCGTGAACCACTGCAGCCTCACCCTCTGCCTTGCCTCTCCCCTCCCGCGGCTGCTGCTGTGGGGGGGAGGTGGCGGGGACGGGGGGTGGGGGAGAGGGCTGGCCGCCGTGTGAATGACTTTGCAGGGACTACCGTGGGTGGGGAATGGTCTGGAGGAAGGAAGGGGGCGATGGAGTGCGGTTCCAAGGGGCGGCTGAAACGGGGGGTGAGGTTAAAGGGGGGTGGTTGATTGGGGGTGGGGATGTGGGGGTTAGTAAGAGGGGAACGCCGCGGCCACCCCCCCACCTCCTCTCCTCATCCCTCACTCACCTCCCCCTTTGTAAAAGGGGGTTAGTAAGAGGGGATCGCCGCGGCTACCCCGCCACCTCCTCTCCTCATCCCTCACTCACCTCCTCCTTCGTTCTTATCTCCTCTCCTCTCCTCTCTCCCTCTCGCCTCCTCCTCCTCGCATACCCCTCTGCCGTCTCCCACTGCGCCAGGTGTACCCCTTCAGGGGGTGTGACTTGCTCTAGCTATGTGCTGCAGGCAGATAAGGGGGTGTGTCGCGATAGATATTTTATATATGTTTATAACTGCCTGTAGCTTTAGCTTTAGTGTAGTTATGCTACTTTGCTGTTGGTGGTGCACCCTTGCTTTCACCTTTATGTTGTTTGGTTCTCTCTTAGTGAATCATGTCAGGATGTGATATTTGTCTAGCCTGCAGTGGGGTACTCTATAGCGAGTATAGCTCAAATTAGGGTTTCCTATATGTACTCAACTGCCTGCTAGTGCAAACCCCCTTCTCTGTTTCATTATTCTTTCCTACTTTCTGACATGCTATCAGAGCAGGTCAACCCTCTCTGGTCGACCCT